TTTTTTTTGCTCCTTACCGTGTTTTTGGTTTCCATGTAAATGCCTTTATTGGCGTTCAGGTTATTCAACGAATGCATGTCTGTTTCCAAATGAACTACAGTGGTTTTCTTGCATAGTCATTATGATTTGCATATAAACTGTACTGTTTTTTTTTTTTTTTAATGATGAGAACATTTTGGTAATGTTTTGTGTTTTGAGGTCTCAACATTTATACTTTAGCAATTCACAACATGAGTGGAGATGATTCATGATTTGCAGGATATGCTTTAATATAAGTGTTTATTAAATCATTATACACACACATTTATTTATTTATTTATTTATTTATCAATGATTGATTGATTACCGTATCTTTCATTTTGCCACATCTCCTTATTGAAATCTTTGTCATCTCCAATGTCTTTCAATGAACCTACTGCTCTGCTTCTATTTCCCATTAACATTACTACTAACTATTACTACATTAGTACATTACATCATTACATCACTACAACTAATTCTGTGTTTTTCTTAATTTATCAGCATTCTCTTTGTGTTTTTGGTGTTCTTCGACTGCCTGCCCTTTCATTCTGGATTGCATTTTGGACTTAATGTTAGCTAGTTTGTGACAGACCATGGTTCTTGATTGTATTGTGCAGTACTCCTTGGGGATTTGCCATTGCAAAAGTGCTGCTGACAGTTATGAGAGTCGCTGCTTTTACTCACTGTGACATCTGTGTTTTGGAGGGAGGAAACCATGTTGGGAGGAGATCTTAAAAAAGCTATCTAGTAAGGCCAAGCTATCTTTATCTATCAGGCTGGAAGCATGATAAAGAGTAATAGGAAAAAAGAAAGTGAGAGAGAGCTTGAGTGTGGTTAGACTGGATTGTGGCTTTATCTCATAATTTGTATGGGTGACTTAAATTTAAATATTGTGAAAAGAATGGCGAGTGTAAGTGGTTTGTTTAAAGTATTACCAATGAAACATGCATTTAAAAAATATATTTTAAGTGTTAACACCAATATGACTCCAAGTGCTGTTTACACTAATGGACAAGTGTGTAGTGCTTGGAATATTATTTTAATGCATTTTCAAACACTAATTTGAGTAGAAGGTGATGGTAAAAGAGCAGAATTAACTTGTGAGCTGTACAGACTGCCCTTCAGAACATGTGTCAGCTAAGTAGTAGAAACGAGAACAGATTTGATAAGAAATTTTATGGTGAATTGCGTGCTCTGATCAGAGTGTGTAACATTTTTTTAGAAATCAAATTGATCTTCTCCTGCAGGATGAGGAATCGTATTTTTTAAATGAAATTAAATTGGATTTTCTGAAGCAAGGTGACTTTTCTGAGTTATCACACCAGAAACATTGGAAACTTGGAAACACTTAAAAAAAAAAAGAGGAAAAAAATCCCACTTCATTTTAACAATCTCTTTTATATGAATGGTTGGTTAAAATATAATTTGCCTCTTAAGTTCTCTTCAGCTCAATGGATGAGATAAAACTACTGCCAATGTGTGATATTAAATATTTTGCATACTTTTAAGATCTGACATTTAATTTCCACTCAAGGGAGCATGTCTTGACAAGACCTAAAAATTAGATACTGTATATGTAGCAGAGATCAGGGATAGTTGTAACATGGGATATATATTAGTAACTATAAGGTTCTGAGACAAAAGTGCAATTTACACAAATTTACAAATTTAGTTCAAAACCCTGTTGAATAATTTGCATGTTTTCATATATTAAAGCAACAATCAACATGCTACCGGAATTTGTAACTGAAACTGTTCTCTGTTTGTCCCAGTTGGTATTTGTTAATACCATTTTGGTCCCCCTAAAAATGGTTTGATATTATAATTTGGTGTTTCACAAATAGTATTCAATTGTTTTTATGTTTAGAATTTTGCTGTAAAGCTGATAATGTCAGGATCCATTGTGACAACTTACCCCTTATAATGTGATAACATTGTGAGTGAAAAGTGTAATTATGCAAATGTTTTCTCTAGCAGTGTTTTTCCCCTTCAAACATCTAATTCGAAACCCTGTTAAATTAGATTTGCATGTATTTATAAATTCAGGCAATTCACCTGTTTTTTTTTCAGGATGGGGCAAGTTGCACATGTTATGAATGATATAAACGTATATATATTTATTAATACGATTTTGGCCTAAAACAGTTTGATATTTTTGTACGAGACCTTAACAATTTTAAAACGTTAGGCACTCCTCTGCTGGGTTGATAATGTACAGAATGACGACGATTCAGTATTATCCGCCTAGTGGTTTGTATCAGTAGTGAACCTGTGAGCACAGTCAGGCCTATTTGATCCCAGTGAGGGGTGCGCTGTTAGATCCCACAGTAGCTGTACATTCAGAACTGCTGTATGTCTGTGTAATGAAATCCACATGAAAACGTGCATAAATCATCATTAGTCGACCCATATCAGGATCGTTTCATTACTCAATGCATTGCAGAGATACGGGGTGCAATCAGTGCACTCGTTGCACGTACTCGCATTATATTTCCTCGATCCTTTAATAATATGGATTGAGGAGTCGAGAACCAGTCTGAGCGGAGAATAATTCCAGGCGCGCGCTATTGGCTCCCCGTCCTCATCTGTCAGTCAGCGGAGGCGGGACTCTGCCTGCTCGCGCTCCCAGGAGGCGATAGATGCGTGAGCTGTACTTTTCTACTGTGTTGGAGCGCTTCGCAGTTTTCGAGCTGAGTCCGAGCGTCAAGTGAACGGCGTGCGGAAAGCGCAGTGGGACTTCAACCGTGGAGAAGTTATCGAAGGAGCCTGTAGTATTGATTGCAGCAGCCTGCACCTGGATAAGCCCCCATCATCAGCGCGCGGAGAAGAGAAAGAGCGAAGAAAGCGTGTTGACGGCAAGCGGACAGCTGTTATAGAAGGAAGGCAATATGATGGTGAAGCAGCACATGCTGTTTACCCTGTACAGCATCTGCGGGATCGTCCTTAAAGGTAAGAGCGCTTCAAACTTTAAGGCAGCCTATGCAGTGCTTTGCAATTTGGGGGCTCATCATCATTACGCACTATATAGAAAAGGCATTATGCTCTGGAATGATGATGATGATGATTTGCATTTCCATAATATCTCCAAAGGGCCTCGAGTGAGTACGGGGACAGTTTCCCTTTAGTCATCATTGCTCTGAAGAAATTTTGCACGTTTGCCCAGCACTGATACAGAATCTCATCACGGATAAGCCTGCACACACTGCTGAGCTAGAGCCCCGCTTTTATGGATTACCAGTCAAAATGTGTTATAGATAAATCCACCACCATAAGGGAATACCATTTAATTGATACAGGCTTTGCTTCACCTGATCGGAAACTTTATATAATAGCTAAACGCAGCGCTTTTATTACGTTTTAAAACCAAAGCCTATATGCGTATTTAGGCACATTTTATTTATTTATTGGAAATGCGATAAGTCTTTAAGCATAATGTTATAGCGTTAAATCATGTGGTGCTTTTTCATGTTATGTATTTAATATAGTTAGTGGTATATACGCTACTGTTTTATTCTGGCAGGGATGTGGCATTGTTAGTTATGGGGTAATATAGATTTGTATTTTACCCTTGTAACGTGGTCGTTTATAATCATGTATCTTTTGTTCTGGATAGAAAAGCCCTCGATTTCGTAGGTAGCGTGAAGCTAATAGTTTAAGTGCTTTTTTAGCACCCTTAATCAGGTTTGGATGTGTTTTTGGGACAGTATCACAGTCATTCAAGTATGGTATTTGCGGCAATCCGCATCTTGGGGTCGTAGTAGCATAAGCTTTTTCCTCTCAGCAAAAAAGACTTGCGGAGCTATAGGCTACCTGTCAGTTTACAGTTGTCAGTTTAATGCCTTATTCACCCAATTTTTCCAACAGTAAATTGAACATTACGCTATATCAGAAGTTCATAAAGAAATCTGCCAGCATTTCTGTGTTGTTTACCTTAAGTCTGGTAGTTTCGGCTGGTGCCCATCATTGACGTGCGACACTGTAAACAGGATCAGCAGGGCAAGGTCGCGCGTACTGTTCGTGTTAGTGACAGGAATACTCGATGAATACGTCAACTGAACGTGCCTTATTGCTTTTTCGCGCAATATGAAGGTAATGTTTGCTTGAGGTGAGGGTTTAGTGGTCAGTTTAAAGTTCAGCAGGGTAGGCTCAGTGTGTGACCACTTAAATGTAGGTAGACTATTTGTTTTGTGTCCCTTGAGAGAAAGGTTACGCCGTCCCGCCAATATCTCGTGAGTAGCAGCCACTGCCCGCCCATACAACACACCCACGGTTTCACCTATTAAGATAATTTATAAATTTTATGAGACTAACCTCAGATATGATGTTAAAGTTTCTTACGCTAACAAACATGTGTTCAAGGCAAAATTGACTCCAAACTTGGGCATCCCTTTTTACAAAGTGGTTATATGGTTTGACGTCGCTAATAGGCTTTGCTCATGAATATTAATAAGTTTGAAGTATAGTAAAATTTGCCTGATTTTAATTTACAAACAAAGGTATTTTTAATGTTTGAGTGAATAGTCTTTGTATTTGTCAAGTTTGTAGTAGCCTATAAGTTCACTTTTTGTGACTGATAACAACCACAGTGACCACTCTAAAAAATATAAATAAATATAAAAATCCAGACCACTATTTATTGCAACACACTAAAAGAATTAAGACCTGACTACTGGAGATGTTTCCTTTGTTACATAAGCTCATTAAGTACATTCAGTTAAGGGACATTCATGAAAATGTGATGCCTATGTATTTCAGATACTCCAAGCCGATCTGGCTTGGTCTGGATATCAGTGAAACACGACTCCTCTGACCAGAGGTGTTTACATCTCAAACAGTCTGGTTTGCAGATCTGGCAGTTTATGAATGTTCAGGATGAATGCAAGAGAGACAGAAGGCGAAGACAGTATTTGCATTCGCCTTTCTGTGTACGTGTGTGTGTGGCTTCCCTCCTCTGCCCCATCTTTTGACAAAATACCCTATGCTGTGTGTTGATAATCAGTCTGAGAGGTGGGCCATTAATAATCAGAGATAATTAAGCACATTCCTCAAGGCTTCACTTCTAATGAGTCGGCAGCGAGCGTGAGACTGAAGCTATGTATTGATTTCCCCCAGCCTTCTCTCTCTCTGCCCGTAATTCACAGAGCCCGAGTCTCTCAGCAGCACCCAGTCAAAAGCCCTACTGGCTGCAAGTGCCTCCTTCGGTTCTTTAACACCTCTCAGTCTGGCTGCACCTGCTTACCAGGTGTGAGCATGTTATTATGCTTAAAGAGTGGTAACCACGCTGATATTTGAATGATGGAGGTCAGGGGGTTCTGGTAGCCCTGTCTGCTCTGCAATTGGTGATCGATAGATCTGATCATTGTGATTTCAGTGGTACATTGATTGATTATCTCTAACATCTGAATTGTGTGATGTTACATACTCCGATTTACCCACAGACCAGTTTGACTGGCTTAATTTTAAACTTGAGGCGTTAATAATGTATGTAGAATGTTGATTTCAATAAAAGGATAGTTGATGTGATGTGTCCTGTTGAGTGACATGCTAAAAAGGGTTCCCATGCTAATTATATCCCATATCAGGGAACTGTGATTCAGACTTGGAAAAAACCATTGGAAATTAACTAGGCATAACCCTTAAATAATGAAAATTTCTATCTATCTATCTATCTATCTATCTATCATCTTTCTTTGTAATCTCTATAACTCATAAAATAATGAAAACGGAAAAACGACAAAAAGAAAAAAGAAAATCCTAAAAGTCCATAGAAGTTTCTAGTAATTTATATATATACTTGGCTTTAAAAGTATTGCATCGCCTTAAAATGTTGTGTGTGTAATCTTTATGCCATTTTACCTTTTATGTAGATTTTTTATGTAGAAGTTCTTATCCAGTATTCATGAATGACTTAAAAATAATGGAACCCTATAGCTATAATTAATCTAAAACTATGAAAATAATATGCTTTCCCTTGCATAAAATGTTACACTTGAAATCCAGAAAATTCATATTATTTTTTACATATTATTTGATTTGTCAACTACCCAAATTCTTAACTGCATTTTTAGTGCTCCAGTGACCATCTGCAGTGAGCATGCAATTCAAGCTTTTATGTACTGGTCATCGATTACTCTTAAATCAGTGCCAGCCTTCCTCGCTGAGGTTCAATGTTTGCATCACAAGTGCGGGCACATCCCTGGCACATCCGTCCAGAGGGATCACTGCAAGCTGCCAGCAGCTGGGGTTTGGGGGGAGCATGGCAGTTACGCAAAGCGTGTGGCAGACAGTGCAGCTCCTCCCTGTGTGTGAACTGTGGAGTACTATAGTCCATGTGAAGTGCTGTTGTGAGTAATAGCAAAGCTTGGCTCCCTCCTCAGAGACACCAGAACTGAGTGGGAGGACTATGTGGTCCTGTTTCATAGAGGATGTACGCCTTTATACTTGTTTCCCTTTTGCTGGTGTGTACACAAAATCTTTCTTACTTTTTCTGTCTTTCTTGGCTCTATGGTGCTTTGACAGTCTTGCGCTCTGAACCCTGCCAGAATCTTCTCATGCAAAGTGTACCCAAATTCAGAAAACCAACTCAGCCAGCTAGTAAAAAAATCCTCTGCATTGAATGTGTGTGGTCGGAATGAGAATTAAAACAGCTGATAAAAACATTACAATAATCTACTGGTAATCCACAAATCTACAGTCCATCACTTAACATCTTGAAAAGCTGCATGTTTGCAATAATCAAATTCATCAAGGTGTTTTAACATTAAATCGTTGCTTTTGGCCAAGTCCATAATCCATAATAACGCTTCCTCCATTGAAAAAGTCCATCCACTGTTGTCCTCTAGCATTAAAATTCACAGACATATTGTATTGTTTAGAACTGTATTAGTGTCACGATGCACACACACACACACACACGAGGAACGAGGAGACGCTGGAGAATACTTTACCAAGACTTTATTTACAGGAACCAAGACTGTTTACTTGTAAATGGTGCTTCATCTGTGCATATTTCTCTCCTGATTCAGGTGAGAAAACTTATTTTACCAGAGAAAGCAATAATTTGCCATTTGAAGTTTAAAACATCATAATGACACAACTGTTTCTTACAAACATGCATATTTTCTCTTCACAAATGCACTGGAGACATGTGGATTGCTTGTGGATTATTGTGATGGTTTTTATCATCTCACGGCACTCATTCACTGGAGAGGATCCATTGGTGAGCAAGTGATATAATGCTATATTTCTCCAAATCTGATGATGAAACAAACTCATCTACATCTTGGATGGCCTAACACTGAGTAGGCCTACATTTTAGCAAATTTAAAATTTTGGGCGAACTATTCCTTTAAGAGCAAAAAAACATTATTGAGACAAAATGCTCCTTTCATACCTCATTGTGTGGGCTACTGTGCATTGAGGCAAGTCTCTGGCCCCCTGCCTCTCAGTCAGCTTATCCCAACAGAGTAGCTCCAAGCTGGGCACTGGCCTTCCTGGAGCCGGCCCTTTTATGGAAGTAGCGTGGGAAAGCGCTCCTTCAGGAAAGGGCTGGCGTGTATGTGCAGCCATATTTGTGTTGAAAGGGGAGGCTAATGGCCTTTTTTTCATTCCTGGTCTGTTGTCTTTGTCAGTCGTGGAGCGTGAAAAGCATCTGTGCAGGTGAGCGGCAGCACAGGCAAATGTGCTCAGACAGGTGAGAAATGGAGTTGGGCATAAGCTGCCATTTCTGCTGACTAGAGTAAGCATTTGTTTGGCATTAATTTAGAAAGGGAACAACACAGATTGCACAAGCCTTTCTCTTTGGGCTGCAGTATGGAGCTCTTCCTATGGCCCGTCCTGTCATGTGTGTGTGTGGTATATTATTGCAGTTCAAGCCTCTTTCTGCTATTTCTTTAGAGTGTAAAGAGGCTGAGTGTGTCCCTCTTTCTCACTGTGTTGTGTATGTGGGT